TGTTTTTCCTTGTAGCCCGCTCCAAACTTAGGGCTGTCAGGAGAATTGTGCGGCAGGAGTGCCCCAATATTGGCTTAGTAAGTAGTTCTATTGTTTTTTCTCTATTTAAATATCTATATATATTCGTCTTCTTCCAGAATTATGTAGTAATGTACGTGAGGGTGGTTGGAGAGTGGCCACCCCCCGTGCCAGGGATCCAACGTACCCTTTTTTATGGGTCCCTTTGTGGAGCCATTTGTTTGATTTGCGCCGTGGTGCGAGCTAGGCGACCGCTGGTCATAATTTATTTTTAGTAATACATAGAGTTGTAAGAAAAAGTGTTTTTTTTTTTTCTCTCTTTTTGTTCCCTCGCTTTCAGAGAATATTTATTATTCTAATCAAAGTTCCACTAAGTCCACCTCTGGTGTTTTGTTTCTAATCATTACGTATTTCTGTAGCGTCATTCAAAGGTGCGCTCGCGTCGCACTTATTTTTATGAAAAGTGCATGTCAGCGTTCCGTCAGGTCTACGGCCTGTAATTCGCAATATGTATTCGTGGTTTTCCACGCCCGTATCGTTTCTTTCTGGTTTATGTGGCAAACTTTCTTTTTTAGCTTTATTTTGTAGGTACATAAACCCTTTTCCCAATAGGTACATGAGGAATAGTACAAACAAACCGCATGTAGTGTAGAATATTACATCGTGTTCTGGTGGGTGTTGGCTGCCCGAGTCTTGGCCTGTACAAGGGTTGAAGAGTGCAAGGATTAATGGTTGTGGTCTTCTCCATAAAACATATATCAATATTACTGTTAAAACTGTGTTCCATATCGTCATTATACTGTGACTTTCTGTCGTCCAATGGTAAGTTCTGGCAGATGCTTGTCCATATTTTAGTTTTCTTTCAATGTTTTCTAATAGTGCTTTATTTGATGTTAGGTTTCGATGTGGGATCGTCAGCGACCAGTTATGGTTTATACATTCGTGTATATTGTTGAACTTTACTGGCGTAGATGTAGTCAAAGGGTTGAGCACGAATGATTTTAGGTTTGTCCAAGCTGCAGGGATCACGTGAGTAATGTATAGCTGTGTATCGACTTCCTTGCAGGGAAATCTCTTTGGTATTATTATTTTATCATTTATTTTTAGGTTACACTGGCATGGCATGAGGACTTTGATTGCCCCTGGTTGAGCTGTACCGTTTTTCTCTAGGACTGTGGACTTCTTTGGGCAATCTACTTTTATATCTCCCTGGGGGTGGGTTATAATAAATTGGTCGTCTCCTATTTCCGTGATAACCAGGAGGGTTGATTTGTGACACCTCATAGGGCAATGGGTGGTCAGGTCTTCCACTGTAGTGCCTTGAAATAATTTTGTGGCACATGACGGGCCCTGGAGTGTGTCGCCTGAAAACCTTGGCAGGTAGCATAGCTTATTTTCATACGGGTTACATAGATGAAGACCCGTTCCTGTTATCTGTCTTGTGGTTTTGCTCTCATGGTAGTCATTACCTCCAGCAACCGCCATATAGAGTGTGTTGTGTTCGATGATACATGTCTGACCCTGCCATGAAAAAGGGTACGTCTGTAATTCAAATAGTTGCCATTGACGGTTCTTCTCGTTTGTAGGAACTTTTATATGAATTACTAGTTTGTTGTCTGTGAAACTGCAGTCACAAATTGGGAGCTCATAGTACTTAGAAATTTCCTGCGTTTGGATTGCCAGTTCGTGTTCCCTGTTTTTGAGCTCGGTGTTCAGGTGTTTCAAATCTTCCTCAAGTATTTGGGGAGTTACAACCGCCATTGGTATGTGGTGGTGTTTACAAGAATCTATGATACTTTGTCTCTTCATGGTTCTGGTAACTGTCACTACCTTTCTTGCCAGATCTATGTTATTTTTTAAGATCAAGTATATTAGGTTACGCTGTGTTGCCTCTTCTTTTAAAAACTCATTGCCCACCGTTTCTACAAAATTCTCCAGGTTTTTTATTTTCGTTTCGGTTGTTTTTAGAGCCGCTGCTGTTTCTTCTTGGGATTGTTTCATGTAAGATGATTGTTCTCCTATTACTTTAATCGCTGATTCAAGCCCTTGCGTTACTGAGTCCAGTCTTGATCTTAAGGAATCTGTGTCCATGACTAAAGAGTCTAGTTTCTGTTGGGTGGCCACCCCGCAGCACCAGTTAAGTCCGTCCGCTATGAATGACAGGGAGATTGCTCTCTTTGTCTTCTTTGATTTTTTCATTATTCATTTGTCTTAGAGGTATTTCATACTGACCATTCAGAATCAGTTTTTTCCTTGGGAGATCTATGATCGCGTTATTTTTTGTCAAAAACTCCATGCCTAGGATGACTGGTTGAGTTAATGATGAAATCACTTTGGCGTTTAGTCTGCCCTTCCATTTCTGACTCCCTGGTATTTCTATTGGAACATCAATGTCTCCCAAAACTTTTATCTGGTGTCCTCCTGCAGTGACTAGAACCGTGTCATCATTTCTTGTTAGTTCCTCTTTGATTAGACTTCTTTGTAGAACGCTATCTTGTGCTCCTGTATCCACGATTGCTGATATGTACTTATTATTTAATCTAATTGTGATGTGCAAGATTCCCATGCTATTGTTCTTCCCCATGGTAAGGATGGCAGGGGCTTTTAATTTTGCCATCCCTTCTCGTTTGGGTTTTGTCGTCGGGCTGTACAGGTGTTTGCAAAGTGACCCTGTTTTCCACAAACAAAGCAACCTGGATTGTTTTTGTTGTTTCGTGGCGTATACGATTTGTACCTTTGAGGCTGACTTCTGCATACTGTTGCAGTATGTCCTGTTTTCCCACAGTTGTAACAAACGGTGGCAATTTTTGAGTTGGAGTTATGATTTCTCATCTTTTGGCTCCTACATACAGCTGCGAAGTGTCCTGTTTTCCCACAATTATAACACGTTTGGCTAGATATTGGTACTCTTGTGCTTGTGTGTCCTCCTTGCATTCGGATCCTGCAGGTGGCCATTACATGTCCTCTTTTTCCACAATAATGACATATGTTTAGTTCTGTGTCTGTGATTGTGTTTCTTTCCGTACAGCTGGTAATTTGGGTATCTTGCGTTGCACCTTTCTTCGGAGCTTTGTCTATCGTGTCTGCTATTTCTTTTAATTGTATAAGTGATGTTGGTGGCTTGTTCGGCGGGTTTGTTAACCAGTAGTAAGTGTGATGATTTGCCTCCGTCAATCCTTCGCTGAAAATCCTTACAAATTCTTGTATATCAAATGTATGTGTGTAATTGTGATATAACACTTGTAAATCGTACAAGTATTCCTTGACTGACTCATCTTGACCTTGTTTTCTGTTTTCGACTTTTTTCTTGAGTGCCCTTTGGTAATCTGTATCCTCAAATTCCTCTGAAAAATCTTTGACAATGTCTTTCCAGCTGTTGTTTTGATGGTCGCGCTTATATTCCTGAAACCACAGGTTTGCGGCTCCATCTAAATACGTTTCAAAATAAACAATTTTCAGCTTTTCGTCCCATCCATTTGCTATCGCTGATCTGTCATATGTTCTTAGGAACTCGATCGCGCTGGTTTTACATGGCTGGAGGGTTTGAGGGCTGATAAACTGAGGCAACTTCGCCTTTTTCTCCGCTGTTATAGCATCAGTTATTGTGGTGTTCGCCATTATATCCGGTTGATCTACTTTCTCTTTTGATGGTTGCCTGGGTTTTGGTGCTTCTTGAAGGGTAAGGTCTGGTGGGCTACCAAAAACATTGTCTTCTTCGTAGCCTGTTTGATTATTTGCTTGGTTTTCTATTTCCCTTTCAATTTGTTCTAAACTGATACTGGTTGACTCTGGTGGTTATCTTTGCAGTGATCTTCTCGGCAGAAAGAGCACGTTTTCCGATTCTAATTTTACTGGTGTCGTTGCTGCTTTCTTTGGCCTCAAATTATATTTGGTTTTGTCTGGCATCTATTCTTGCCACAATGGCGGCGGTACCAACTATGTGTCACAATTTATTCTTCTGTCTTTTCTTCACCTTCGTCACGGTGTCGTGAATTTCTCTTGTCGACGTACCGCCTGGTGACGTGTTTGGGCGTCGGCTTTCTTTAAAGGCGCCTTACGGCGTCGGTTCTTGTGCGTCGGTTTCGAGACGGCGCCTCCACCAAATATGTCACAACTGCCCGCTTTACGGGGGTGACATGGGGGGTTTGTAGCTTTGGGGGTTGATGGAGAGAAACTCGCTCAGGTTATATAAAAATATAGATATATATTTTCCCAAATATAACCTTACATGTACGCTAACCCTATAAGATACATGACCCTTCGTACACTGGGATCCTTATTATAGGGGGCCCCACGTCAATGCTGCTTGGGGGACTGTAGGTTAGTTTATCGTCACCCTTATGCCTTGTCCAGAGGGGCGTTCCCAATGAGAGGTAATTGCACTGGACAACGATAAGGCTGAAGATACCCAGAGGGGCGTTCCCAACGAGAGGTACTTGCACTGGGGAAACTTAATTCCAGAGGGGCTTTTCCAACGAGAGGTTCTTGCACTGGTTCAAGTCTGCCTTTGCTGCGGCTTGCAACGCAATTTAAATCAATTTATTGCTGAATTGCAATAAACATCCGATCGAATCGGCAATTAAATTAATAAGGTTAAATACCGGGTCCTCCTTTCCCAAGCAGCTAGTTGACAATAGTACAGGCCTATATGTCAGAAAATTGATAGTGTTTTGTTTAATGTGAAGCTTGAAAAAAAAACTTGGCTACTAACCCTACATTTTGTTTTTTTGTTTACCTTGATATCTTCAAAAACAAAAAACTAAAAAAGTTACAGCAAATTAAAATGTTATCAAGATTTATTGAACGCACGGTACTTCCCAATTTTTTGTGACCTCCATCCAGCCTTTTACCAAGACGTAAAAAACTGCATCCTAATTTAACCAACGTTTGTAAAATCTGAGAATATGAGAACAAATCATTCTCATTCAAATCGGCTATAATATTTATTTTATTACATTTTGAACATATATATATTCTTTTAGTTAGCGCAAGGAATATTAGTAAAAGTTTTCCCATCTCTAATAAAAAAAACCAAACTCCATTATCACAATTTACCATTTGGTGTTGGCATCATACTTGGCAATAATGGCTATGTTTGGATAAGCCCCCCAGTTAGTACTACTGAGTTAGAAGGAAATGAGGGTGGGTTTGTACAAAACCTAGAAGAAGTAATTATTATTGTGTAAATTTATTTTTTACAAATACTAAATGACATTTTTATAGGTTATACCTAGAGACATCAGAGAAGCAATGGCCAGAGTCAGAAATTGCATTTTGGCCTTGGCTCAGAGTTACATGATGCTCTTTAACACCAGTGTAGTGGTTGCCTATGAAGAATCATTGAAATATGCCGTGCATGAATTATTATTGCCAGAAGTAATGATTGATGTTGCCTTGCTCACTCAGCAAAGGATGAATATGATGGAAGACTATGAATTTTAACAAATTGTCCAAGAAATAAATCTTTTTTTAAAATAATGTTTTCTTATTCGCCTAATTTAATTACCTACAAAACATTAATTATTGGTAGATACTAGTTTATAAATATCCTAAAACTCAATGGAAAATTTTCCAAGTAACATCAGATAGTATATAATTCAATGTTTCACCACCCTAAGAAAAGTCGGCCTAAGCGTCTAGATCAATCGTCAGTTAAGTCCGTGTTAGTTAAAAAAAAACCTTAGGATGTTTGTCAATATATTGTTTTTGTGTGGCACAATCTAAGATTTTCGCTAACTAACAAGAACTTAACAAACGATTAATCTAATAATATTATTTTGATTTATATTCCAGTAACGTTCCTGATAAAATTTCTATATTCTGGATTAACAATGCGGCTATAGACTCCTGGACTAGTACCACAGGGTTTAAATGCCCAAGAAACAATTCCATATTGAATGCCATTAACAACGAAAGGTCCTCCCTCGTCACCCTGATACAAAAATACAATTATTGACTAAGGATAAAAGTTGACAAATCTCCTTACACTACAATGTCCGCTCCCCTTCTTGTAACTGCACATGTAATGAAAACTATCATAAATATCATAGCCGCCATAGACAGCTAACTTGTCAGTACATTCTTCATCTGATAATAGCTGCAAATCAAGGGTTTTCAGATATTGTGTATAATTTGTAGATGATGCTGAAGTGTTGACACCCCAACCAGCTATAGCTCCATCAACATGAAGTGGTATATCTTCATCATCGTCCGGCAATTTTATAGGTTGCGCATTATCAGCAAATGGAATTTCTTCTTCGAGCTAGAAAAACATAATACTTATGCCAACCTATACTTAATTAGTGAAGTAGAGTATGGTTGGCTGGCAAAATTTTATCTCCATATTCTCCATTTAAGAAGGTTTGTATTTGATCCAGATACCCTTTGATTATGGATAACTATGTTTTAAATACGGTAAAAAAAAGGAATGGAGGAGAAATAAAACTTTTGTATGTACTATTTTTTAAACCCTTCGAAATAAACCGTATAAGCAAAGTTTACTTAGGTAGTGGGGTGTAAAAATATCCGGGAAATCCCTTTTGCCACGTGCTTCCTGTAATATGTGTAGGAAATTTGGAAAATTACACAAAAACAAGCATCCTATAAATCTTATAAAAAGCTCTTACTTCTAAGATACCAATATCATATGTGGGAAGTATTCCAATATGGGTTATTCTATTTCGAAATTTTGGATGTTGATATGTTTGGTTCACTCGTACAACAGTGTCTGTGTCATTCGGGCTATATAAAATATTTGTTCCGTAAACAACTGATTTTCTGCAAAAAAAAAAAATATTTGAGATTTTACAATGGAAATTAGAGAAAACAGAGGAATATGTACAAAGATGTTCCCTTATATTTTGACACCCATCTACAACCTTCACCTTTATACAGGTATAAGAAAGATGTAAATACACAAAATGTTGCGTTTTAGCTGAACTTTCAGAAACAGGAATTGAATGTCGGTCGGTAATGGGAAATTTTGCATACTTTTAACTTTTTTTAATGGAATGGCGTTTGGTTTATTCAATTTTTGTTTCTGACGACAAATTCCGAAATTTCAGCTTAAACTCAATAGGTACCTATTTTTTGTATTTACAGCTTCTTCTACCTGTGAAGGTAAAGGCTGTGGGTGGGTGTCAAAAATATAGGGTAACGGGTAACACCCTGTATAGTTAGAACTAACTAAGAAAAACCCCAGACGTCATCACTGACGAAGAATGCAAATTTCCGTTTCTTTAGGGCCCTCTTCCATTTGAAGTGAGACAAAAGATCACGCGGAGGCTTCTTCTTAGTTGGTCTTATTTATACCAATCTACACCCCACCTGCAGCTTTTACCCTTATAGGTAGAAGAAAGGTGTAGATATAAAAAAGTTTCTGAGTTAGCTGAATTTTTAGAATCTATCATCAGAAGCAAAAGGTCTAGGATTTTTTGAATTATTCTACCTGTAGAAGTTACCTGTAGGTAAAGTTTGAGGTACCTAGTAGGTTTTCCTGAATATCTTTACAATTTGTAGTCAGATACTATGGGCTTTCCTAACCATACTGATGGCTCCACGACCAAAAGTCTCCCATCAGTCAGATACTATATTATCTAAAGCCACCCAACCCAACCAAACATGGGCAAACTATACTTACCTAATACCATATTTTTGGAATCGGAAAATTGTGCTATTCAAGAATATGGAACCAAATAGGGCGTTCCATTTCCATGGATTCTAAAAATTCACCTAAAACTCAACAACTTTCCTATTCACAATTTTCTTCTACCTGTTAAGGTGAAGGCTGCAAGTGGGATGTGGAGAAATTGGGAAAACACCCTGTACAGGTGGGTGTCTGGTTATAATTTGGAACCCAACCGGCAGCCTTTACCTTTACAGGTAGACGATAGGTGCAAATACGAAAGATGTGCAGTTTTATCTGAATTTTTAAAATCTATCGTCAGAAATTTGAAATTTTGCGTATTTTTAATTTTTTTCAAATAGAATGCCCTATAAATATGTATTTGGTTGGTTCTATGTTCTTGAAGAGCACAATTCACCGATTTCAAAAATATATAGATTGTCTATATTTGGTTGAGCTGTCTCCAACATATTTGGCTTTAATTTTACAAATACTATCAGAAAAATCATATAGAAAAACCAGGTAGAATGATTCACAAAATCTAAGTTAGTATAGGATAGTATTTTTACAATTTTAATTTTTAGTGCCAAATATACATATCAGCCGTATAAACTGCCTAGACAGTCTATACATATATTCTTGGAAATAGGAAAATTGTGCTCTTCAGGAATATAGAATCAAATATAGGGCATCCCATTCCAAAAAAGTACCTTTGCAAAATTTTACATTTCTGACATTCAATTTTTGTTTCTGACCATGGATTCTAAAAATGAAGCCAAAGCTTCACAACTTTTGTATTGTATTCACTCCTTTCTTTTACCTGTACCTAAACGTGAAGGCTGAAAGTGAGGTGTCAACTTATAACCGAAGACCCTATATCTAGCAAACCTATAGCAAGGATGGCTCAGTTAAGCTGGCCCCCCCCAGTTGAATTTTTTTGCTCAAAAAGCTAGCGCAGATAGAGGATATCTAGCGCACCACTTTTAAAAGCTAGCGCACCAACCCCCGCGAAAATAGCAGGGGTTGCGATCGTTAGGGGAGGGGAGGCAGATTAACGCTAGCCCCCCCACAACCACACCGTGACAACACAACAAGCTTGACAGTTTCCACATTTCACTTCGGCGCATGCTTACTTTAAAAATTCTCTCTCCGAGGTAGAACTTTTGGAGTGAACTCCATGTACTTCACTTCGTATAGTCGAACGGTAATGGAGTCAGGGCTGGCCCTACCATAAGGCGAACTGAGCGAGCGCTCCAGGCGCCAGACCTCGGGGGGCGCCTTCGACTTGTTCCTTGGTAATAAAAAAAAGGGAAAAATATATTATCGCTTTGAATTCTGTCTCTGCTTTTCGATATTTTGCTTTTCTGCTTGTGAGCAAGCTTGTGCTTACTTAGTATGTGAATAACCTGTCCTGACGTTTTTTTGAGACGCGCACGGATCGTGTGTGTGGTGGCGCCCTTACCCGAGCATTTGATCACGATATTTCGGATAGTGATAACGGTCACCTGAAAGCAGTCCTTCAGGCGTTAGCATTTAATAATTGGCAAGATACGTTTCCTTATATCTGGACAGCTCTCCGTATTTTTGTTACCATTCCTGTTACAGTGCGGAAAGGTGAACGGAGCTTTAGTAAGCTTAAGGTAATTAAAACTTTCCTTAGCGGTCAACTCAAGCAGAATAGAGAAACCTTCAAGATCTAGCCCTGCTGTCCATTGAAAATGTTATAGCTCAGATATTGTCATATGAGGATTTATGAATATGAATAAAGCTAATGCAAAAGTATGCAAACACCAATTTACTTAAAATTTCGTATTTTGTTTTTTCGATTTTTATATGTATTAGGCCCGGTTTATTTATATTCAGATAAACTTGCGGGTAATTATCGGCAAGATAAATTTACCGTTCTATAAATCTATTGGTCGGCGCATAGCTGGCCAACCAATGGGATAAGATATTGCATTTTTATCGTTCAGATTGCATACCTGACACCTGACAGTTTATCAGAAGGTGAATAAACCGGCCCTAATGGCCGTTTCCACAAACTATTACGATAAGTATTCCCTAAACTGACATTTCTCCATGGAAAACTGTCAGTTTAGGGAATACTTATCGTTAGGGCTTCCCGAAAATAACTAGTTGGTGGAAATGGCCATAAGTGTTATAAGTGATATTACCAAAGTGGATTATTGGTTGATCCCATCAAAGAATGTGAACTAAATGTTAGTAAATAAGAGAACTTTGTACCAACGAACAGAAATGTTTTCAAATTTCAATTGGTAAGATAAATAGAGACATTGAGCTTTGTTTGTTCCAACCCAGCAGGAAACCGTAATATTATCGTCAGGATTCAGCGCAAAACCTAAAATTTTTGCATAGAAACCGAAATTCGTATATAGAGTGGTTCCGAAACCGTTCTGGAACGTTTTTTTGACAGGTTGGAACAAACCTATTAGCAGGGTTGGATGGGACTGGCGGCTAAACATAGGACTGCGATCCAACGTTGCCAAATTGATTTCGATGCTAGGCGCGTGTCCGCCCACCCCATTGGGCGGTTACACACGGACGTGGATGTCTGAAAACATGTACGCACATACATGAACGCTCAAACAAAAACATCAATGTGTATGCAAAATAACGTCGCGTTTTTGAATGTGCAATTTTGTATGCACACTCGGAATACTGTGGCAAGAATAGCAAGACTGCAGTTTTGTGCGAGCGTCTGTACAAAGGCGCCATGCACGTTGTTGTTTGCACGTTGATGTATGCACGTATATGTATTAAGCCATCCACGTCCGTGTGTAACCGCCTATTGAGTCAAGTTTGGCTCTCTCTGTTAGTCTGTCTTCTTCATTGATCTCTTTGGTGCAAATAAACAAACAAAGCTATAGTATTGTATTTTGTATTCAGTAGCTCGCTTATTGCTTGTATTTTTGATTTGTGTACGATTTGTTTCTATTTTTTTTTCGAGAGCACGAATGCGAATGAATACTATTTCAAAATGGGTGTGTTTTGCTTTGAATGCGATATAGTTATTTTCCTAACAAGTGCGCAAAGTGTTACTTTTCCGCACGCAAACACAGTTATACGAACGACGCGGAGCGGAGTTCGGATACGTGTTTGCGTGCGGAAAAGACACTTTGCGCACGTGTTAGGAACAAAATTTTTCCTACGAGCTTCATATCAGGTAGGTAATAACAAAAATTTAAAAAAAAAAACGATAATTTGTTGTTATTTTTAATTAACTTGAAGGGAACCTATGCATTTATCAAAAAATTACATAACAAAAAAAAATAACAGAAAATCCTCGTCAGAGCTGTTCATCTTAAAGCGTTTAAATTTGATGAAAAAGTTTGTAGATTTTTGCATATAAATAGAGAACAAATCTGACAATGTGTCAAAGTTAATTTATATTTGGTGTTTGTATAGATGTTGGCTGCTGATATAGAAACAAGAGGAAAAATTTGTCATCATGCGTCAAAGTCGACAGGTGCACTTATTGTTGCTTGACAATTATAATTACTTTTCGGCACTCAGTGCGGATAAGGCCCGTATCCGCACTGAGTGCGGAAAAGTGTAACTTTGAACCCGGAAATGCGTGCGGAAAAGTACTACTTTGCGCACGCTCGTAGGAAATAG